CTCGGATGCAGAGTCCGAAAGGCAAAGCACACCGTCGGATGGAGAGTGGCCGAGTGCTCAAAACAATACAGAACGGCGTAGGGTTCGTTTATTCGGTAGTCATGCAACAAGATAAAAGCAGCATGCATGTGAGGGCCCCTGGACCGCACAGGACCCACACTCTCTTCCAGCCGCAACTATCAAAGCCTGGCTCGCATCGCCGCAAACCCCGAGACCATAAGTTTGCCATGCAAACGCAAAAATCAAGTAAAGTCCTGGCCAGTTCCGCATATTGCAAACCATGGAGCCGGGACAGGCGGCTGCCTGCTCCTCGAGTCAAGCAGTTCGACGATTGACGCATGATGCAGCATTTCGATCTCCGTACACTTCCCCTGTTTGTGCACCCTCCCGTACAGTGCCTTCAGGAAGCGTTCTTCCCTGCATTGCTGGGTCTTTTTTTCTTCAGGCCCAACAGCCCGAAATCCCCGAACGATGAGGCTTGGACCGAAGCGCTGAGTCTTAGAACATCCTGGGCTCGCATCCAGGGCTCGGAATTGGCAACGGCCGACTTGGGTCTGCATCGACGTACCAAACACATCCATGGCAGCGACCACAGCCGTCACAAACCTCCGATGCATGGCTTGTCTTTTTCGTTATTGCCACTGTTGCATCTAAAGCAGTCGCCGCAATGGCTGGTGGGATGGTTGCAGATGCGAGTATGGCGATCACACTAGTCATAACGGCGTTGCTTGTTCTACTTTCACACTGGTACAGGTTCAGGGTTTTGGATCCAGGGTTGAAACAGGGCCTGCGCATATAAAAGCTCACGTAAGCGGCGCGGGGACGTAATAAGCACGCTTCCCTTGCCCATCACCAGAGTGCCGACCTGTGGCATATCGGAGAACGTCGTGATCAATCTTCCTGACGACGTGGCGAGACATTGACTTGAGCTCTCTACCACATCGGGAAGCTAAGCTCAGCAAAGCTCCGTTTACCTGGATCCAGCAGGGTCGGAACGTCTGATATGAGCTTCCAGGTATGACCCCGGTTCTCTGCTGATGACGTCAATCAACAACTAAACTCCCAGGACATCTGAACTTACAGCTGTCCACTGCCTATGTGAAGGATGTAATAAGTTCTCCAAACCTCTCGAGCTCGGCAAACTGCTTCAGCCAGAGTCACTGATACCAGCTCTCCACAGGCTGCCAAGCATGATGTGAACATGCAGAAATTTAACAGATCACCTACGTGAAAATTACATGCTCACACCACATGAAATTGAAAAGAAGCCGTCGGACAGATCATGACACGAAGGCAGCCTGACCAACCGGGGTAAATCCGAGGCGCTTTCGAATTCAGGCAGCATGTCGTGGTAGTGCTCCTGTGTGGCTTGCCCAATGTTGATTGTGTTTGTCGTTGGGGCTGGTGGAGCTATGAGGGCAGTCATTAGCTGCCGGACCCCTCAATGAAATCATGACACTTGTTGATGCCAAAGCGAGTCCATGAGTCGCAAGAACCACCAGTTTCCCGGCCAGCTCTCTTACCAGAAGTGCAATTAGTAGTAACATAGGATGAGACAAGATATGCACGGGGTCCTTGTGATTGTGCTCGAAGGCGGCATCTGCATTGAAGGATTTCCTGCCGGAGAAAGGTTTAGGCATGGACGGCGGTGTTCTGTAGAAGCTCGGCTTCCCCTGCCAGCGGGGCATGTCCTCCGCTCCCTGTTTGCCGTCGACTCGTGGCCAGGATACCTCCGAGGAGCGAGGCTACTCAGCGGTGTCGTCCGGCGAGAGGCGAGGGCTTGCGTGCTCCGAGCGCACTCTTAACATTTTCGAAGTGCAGTCGCCCATCGCGGCCGCAATGCGGTTTGGGTTCCACTGGGCTGCAGGCAGCACAGGCAAGCAAAGCGGCAATGCAGCACACTGGTGAACAGCCCAGTCCGGGACCCCGGAACCCGACCCCAAATCTGAAGACATGAGACCTGCCTCCTAAAGCCCAAGAGAACGTAAAGGAAGGCAAGAGCCTGAAAGCCCGAGGCTAAGTTGCAATTAGAGCTTCGGGGCCAGTGTTCCGAGTGTCGGGCTCTCGATGCGCACTGAACCCGAAACCGTTTGTAGCTGGTGGAACTCCGAGGGTGCGGAACTCCAAGGTGCTGAGAGGATTCCTCCCACGGGTACACCGTCCAGCCGCGTGCTGAAAGCGCCGCCAACCTGAAATGTGAATGCTAGAAATTTACGGCTGAGTGCATCCAGGTAGTTCCCAACTCTTCCGAAACCTACATGTCTTTAAGCCTTACCGACGGGGCATTGGAACCAGACGCTCAAGCGCACTCAGAAAGCGGCAACCTGAATCTCTTGACCCTTCCAGGTCTCCAAGGTTCGAGCCGTTGATTCTCGTGCCCTTCAGATCTTAGACTTCGGAAATTACGGTGCATTGCTTGTGCAGGATTCGCAGTCTTCTATCCTGGGGCTTTCAGATTCCCTTTCGCGACCGCTCGCGATGTCCCAAAACAGTTGCTTGTGGAAGAGGTTCAGGAGTGAAAGGCGTTGGGTTTACTGGCCGAGTCTTTGGGGCTCGGGGCTTTAAAGGCTTGGAAACCTAATGCCTCGCTGGCCGCAAGCACCCGATACATCTCCAACGACGGTTCCAGGGTTCCGTGAATCCCGCTTGGGCTTCAGCCGGTCAGAGCTCTTGGGGCTTTGATCCGGAGGGCATCGCGAAATCGCTGCTCATCACTTTGTCGCCTTCCCGGCCCTGCATGCCTCGACGGGAAGCTGAACTCTGTCATTACAAATCTCACACCGAGAAGTGTACACCAGTTACAGAGCCTTGCAGGAAGGGGGGAAGACTCATCGAAAGACATTTTGGTGCACCTGGTGAAAGGCTTCAGCAGCCATTATAAGGATTTGGAAGCGTTGCACTGGGTGCGAGCCTTTAGTGGATGGTCTCTGGGAAGGCTCTTCGAATCCTCACCCTGACTGTCTGGTGATAATCCTGTTGTCGTGCACGCGAAGATCCATTTGTTCTGTTGCCACTCTAGCTATCACCTGTTGGACAACTCCACAGAACCAAACAGCGGCCCGAACACAAATCAACAACGAAAACGCATGATACGAAGAATACCTCCTCCAGACGCAAACTATGCAACCTGCAGCTTCAAGACAATGCATGGTGAAGACCTTTGCAAACTCCGATGATGAGCCGACGTCAACACTACAGCAAACAAAACCCGGAAGCCAGAAGCCCAACACCATCAAACGTAGCGCGTTTATGGTCAGGGTAATGAATATCACAGACCCTGAAGACCCTCCGAAGTCTTCCAGAGCTGACACCGAAACCGTGCAGGGGCCTTCCCAGTCGATGCGCCTCAGCCACCTGGTCAAGGTGGCAGTAATACATACCCCACCCGTATCACTGCCGTGAACAATACTCGCAACGGCAGCGGCGGCGACGACAACAACAACAATCTCATCAGCAACAGCAACCAAGTATTGACATTGCTTTTCTTTGCTGTTAGGTTAGATTGCTTGTTATTGCGACTACCATGAGCATGACTGTTGACACTTACGTTGCCTCTACTGTTAAGGGAACCACTATCCTCACCAGCCCTTCTATTGTTTCTAATACCATCGCCATTATCTCTAATATTGCATTGCTTTTGCTGGCGCTACTGCTATGTCTATTCCTATTCCCATGGCTACTACTATTGCAGTGACTGTGGCGATCTTCTACCAATACTATCGCAAATATTACTGCATCTAGTACACTGTCCATCGTTTCCATGTCGTTGCTTCTGTACTATTACGACTACGACTGCGATTACGATTACGACGACGACTACTACTTTGGCCATTACTATGAGTAGTGTTAATGCTGGACTAGTGCTAGTACAGTGTGTTGGGAAAAAAGGTCTAGTCCGATATTCGACCGAGACCGTGCAAAATCTTGCTAGCCTTGGTCAGCTGAATTTTTTGGGTGGGGAGCAAGATTGCCTTCCAAGCTTGCCCATGTGCACCACTTGCACCAGTTGGGGCGGGGAGGGAGCAGACAATCTTGCTAATCTTGCCAATCTTGCCGGAGCAAGTGGCACAAGTGGTGCAAGTGGTGCAAGATTTGCACCGCTAGAAGATTAGCAAAATTAGCAAAATCTCGGTCCCAAACAGTGCGCTTCGTTTCTCAGCACAATGTACCAATACTATGGCCACTACTATTAGTACTATGATTGCAATTAAAGCATGTCTTTTAATATTGCTATTCGTGATACGAACACTATTGCTACTACGACTACGATTGCCACGACTACTAGTGTTACTGTTACTAATTGCCATTCTTGTTGCCCTCTCCCGGCATGCGGATGTGGGCACACGATTAGTATGACTATCACTATTACCGTACTCCTATTCTGACTACGACAATTACTGCTTCCACTACGACTACTCTCTACGAGTACAAAGTACTAATACGGTTGCTGCTACTATTACTACTTGCTCTTCTACAACTGCTACTACTACTTCTACAACTACTAGAACTATAGCTACTACCATTCCCAATCCTGATGCTGTTACAATGACTGTGACTATGACTACGAGTATGACTATGACTCTTAGCCTTCCTTCTTACTCGTACTCTTACACTTACTACTACTATTTCTATTACTCTTACTCTTGCTCTTACGCTTACCCTTACCCTTACCCTTACTCTTACTCCTACCCTTGCCCTTACCCTTACTCTTACCGTTACTCTTCCTCTTACTCTTACAGCTACTACTACTACTGCTGCTGCTACTACTGCTAGTACTGCTGCTACTCCTGCTACTGCTACTGCGACGACTACTACTACTACTACTACTACTACTACCACTACCACTACCACTACCACTACCACTACCACTACCACTACCACTACCACTACCACTACCACTACCACTACCACCACTACTACTACTACTACTACGACTACTACGACTACTACTACTACCACTGCTTTCTACTCCTGCCCCTACTCCCACTCTCACTCGCGCCCACAACCCCACTCCCCAGTCCTACTCTTCCTGCTCCACTGCTCCTGGTCCTACTACGCCTCGACGACGCACGACGACTACTAGTACTACTCCACCGCCACGACTACGACTGCCGGAGCCCTTCCAATTGGTTCAGAGCGCTTTGGGTCGAAGGCATCGAGGATGGCCTCGGCCTGCAGGCTGTGGAAGTGGGGTGCCAACGCGTGACTAAGTATTCCGAGGCTCGGGACTCGCAGCATCTATTCTCGAAACTCAAGAGTTTCAGACCGCTGCTCTAAGGAAAGAGCCTGGCCCGATGGCAGATTCTGGTTTTGGAGCCCTCCAAGGCCATGCAAGCGGCAGCGGGCCTCTATTCTGGCTGGCTATTTCAGCGGGGTTTGAGGACACTGGAAGGTCACCCCAGGCTTGCACCTACCAAGACCAACGGTACAGCCCCCAATCGACAGCGTGATTCGTTACCATCACCTTGCGAGAGGAATGGGCTCTTTCTTGATGCCTTTGTACCAAGAAACCTTGAATTACGTGCTACTGAATAGCAGCTAGCTCCCAAACACGCGCTGAACGCGAAACAAAGCATCTGAACACCAAGGCCCTGTAGCCAAAACTACCTGCAAGACCCCAAACACAACGCTGATCCATACTAAGCGCCTTGTAGTACGAGCCGCCCGCCAAACCAAAGTGAGGCCAGGACACCTCTGCGCACTTCCAGTTACAAGACCTAGATTGATGCTTCCTAGTCTTGGCACTGTCCGGGAACTCTTGCTATGGCTTTTCCTGCTCGGGGAGAGGCACCAGCAGCAGAGCAGAAGCAGAAAAGGCCGAGCGATAGCAGGAGTAGCTGCAGTACAGGAGTCTAGTAGTGTAGCGGCACGAGAGAAAACAAGACAAGGACAAGTAGGAGGAGCAGGGGTAGTAGGACTGGGTGGTGGTGGTGGTGGTGGTGGTGGTGGTGGTGGTGGTGGTGGTGGTGGTGGTGGTGGTGGTGGTGGTGGTGGTGGTGGTGGTGGTGGTGGTGGTGGTGGTGGTGGTGGTGGTGGTGGTGGTGGCGGTGTTGGTGCTGATGCTGGTGCTGGTGCTGGTGCTGGTGCTGGTGGTGCTGGTGCTAGTGCTGGTGCTGGTGCTGCTGGTGCTGCTGGTGCTGCTGGTGCTGCAGTACTCGGTTCCGATTCCAAAGCCCGAGCCGAGGGCATTGAAGTTCGGGTCTCGCTCGCGGCCCATCCTGCCCAAGTACTCGAGGGTCTCCTTGAAACGGGATCGACCACGAAGCCCCACTCGGCAACTGCACGAGCGATGCATTCGCAAGCACGGCAAGCTGTAGATGTAGCGGTAGCAGCACGGCAGTGATAATAGCTAGGAGGAGGATGAGGAGGATGACGACGACAACGACGAGAGACGGAAGAGGAGGGAGGGGGAAGGGGATGCAACTCAATGCTGTGAAACTGCTGAAATGTTAGACGATTGCAGCAGCCAATCCCAGTCTGCCAGCAGCTCCTTATGTGTGGATGGGTTGTAGTCGTCGTACATGCCGCCAGCATCATGTTTTGGCTCCAGTACATGATGCTTCCTTAGTGGGCCACAGGGGTAGCAAGAATCGAGAATCCTGCTGAATTGCGGTGTGTCCACATTCAAATCTTCGCAATCGTCACATCGGCCGTCGTGCTGAAGCTCGGTGGGAGGCGGCTTCGGGTCGAACAGTGCTGGAAAGCAAACGGTTAACCTTTGTTGCCTGGGGCCCAGGTCATCGTCAGCTAAACACTCCGAGCGAGCCTACCCTCTTCGTGTCTTCATGACTGAAAAAAAGCTCCTCCACGTTGCAGCCCCACCAATGTGGTTTCCGGAAGTATGGGATGAAAAATTGGGCCCTGGGTATCTCAGCAGGAAGCCGAACAATCACATCGGGCTCGAGATAGATCACATATTCCTCGGCTCGGCTCTTTGCGGGGCCGTGGGTCTTTTCGAAGGCGGTTGGCCTTTTTGCCTCGAGTAGCTGCAAGGGAATTCTGTCGGCTTTGAACTAGTATCCGCTGCCTTCAGCGTCAGAGGCGTCGGTCGGTAGAACTCGAGCTCTGCAGTAACAGTTCTGACAAAGCTCAACGGGTCTGGGTCAGGCAATGCCCCGAAAATGCTTTACTCAGGACAGCAAGTTGCAGTTCAAGCCGACATGAAATCGGCTTCCACTACTAAGGAAACGTTACTTCGACGGATGCACAAACTCAAAAATCGAGACCAGTCATTGTGGCGTTTGTTCTGCAACCCTGCAGAAGTGAAAAAGGCTGCAAACAGTCAAGAGACAACAACCGTAGGTCTAGCCTCAGCCTATTCAACATAAATTCTGGCTCTTGTAAAGTACTTATAGCTGCAATCGCACAAACGCTGTAGCCCATCCGTAATCCTAAGCACTAAGCTTGAAGATCTAAGAGGGCCGCATGAAAGCAAGAAAGTCCCAGGCACTGTTCCCAGCACCTTCGTGGCATTTCGGAAGCGAGCCATCCAGCTATGGGGGTTCCTGACGGTGGCTCTTTTCTCGGCCAGCTGTCCGATCACGCACACCTACGGACAACGGCTCCGGTTTGAACCACAAATGACACGCTCTGCTGCTGCGACTTATAAATTAATACCACTACCACGACGACAACGACGACAACGACGACGACTACCACAACTACCACTACTCCCTCTCCCTCCCCTACTCCTGCACCTACTGCTGCTGCTACTCCTATTCCTACTACTAGCGTCACTGCTGCTACTACTCCTCCTGATCCTACGCATATATACTCCACAGCAATCAGCAGCAAAGATCAAGTCACTCAAACACACACACACAGACAGACAGCTGGCATTCCTGAAACTATGCTTCCTCGCGATTTGCAGCCTGGCAGCATGCAGCACGAATCAGAATCCAGTTCCCCCAGGCATTACCTATACTATTTTGGGGGCTCCTTATTACAATTATAGCATAACGGGCCCCAAAACCTTATTCCAATTGTTAAGGCCCCTATGTGACTTATCAAAGAGTTCGTGCCAGGCAGCCAACGGCTATTCTCTTCTCTTCCTCTCGCGAATATGCACTTGTACCTCAGGCAAATCAGCGTCGGGTTTTGGACCATCACCCACGTGTGTCGGGTTTCTGGTTTAGGGATGAGGCCCTGTGATTTGAGGGGGAGAAGGGGTACTGCCTTGTTCAGGCGTGCTGTCATTCCCGTGGGTCTGCGTTTCATACCATCGCAAGCCAGCTTATAGATGGTGCTACAGCGATGGCCACCGTCAGTATTCCTTTTACCCGTCACCACCGACATCTCTACTCCAGGCGCTGCCAGTGCTATTTCTTACTCCTATCAAGATCATCGCTAACACCAATGGGTGGCAACTTGGTAAGGCCGCCCTACAACAGGAATTGTAAGAGCCGCGAGGTCCTGAGCCAAACGCCTTAAGCCCCAGCCGCCAGCCTGCGAAGCATGCCAAGGTATACAAAAACCCTCGAACTGCACGGCGTCGCTCCTAAGTGCTGGCGGCAATTGCCCTCGAATAGCTGCAATCAACAAACCGCTTTTTACCTTTACTTCTGGACCTCAGGGCAGGGGACTTTTGCGCATGGCACAGTGGCCCGAAATCGTACTTGCCACCGTCCTCGAAGAAACGGCGCATACAACCGACAATAGAACGCAGCCCCGGCAAGACTTTGCAGGCTCCAAGCCGGTCTCCAAAAGCTTCTGGTGCTTCAGAACGTAAACTCGAGAGGCTGCTGACAAACCTAAGCTGGAAAGAATGAGTAGCCTAAGTGGGGGAGTAGAGTGCGGAATGAGGACCTTGGGCTCCCGTCCTGGAAGACGTAGATCGGCGAGTCCGGGTAAAACTTGCGCACCTCAGACATCCCGTTCATCACCGAAACCGCCAGCACCGTCATCACCATGAGGAATCACCATCAGGAATCCAGAATCACTACAGTCATCAACATAGTCGTCTATCCGAAAGATCGATAAACCAACCGAACCTTCGAAACCCAAGCATCAATCAAGCACCCGCAGAATCCGGATTAGCCGAACTGTACATCTTCCTTAGGCCCTAGGCCAGAAGGCCCTCGAAAGGTTCCATGGTCTGGGTCAAGCCACGGACTGCAGAACCCGCAGCGTCCCAGGGAGCTGCGTGTATACCTGGGTCTAAGGCGATTAGGGTTCGGGGAAAGTCTCGGCTTAGGCCTGAAGCTTCCAGAGAAACTCTAGCCACTTGGACAGCTTGGCCCGTGTCCTGCCACCCTTCTAGCCCGGAACTCTAACATAAATCTTAAAATCCTTAAAAACACCGAAAAACAAGAGCTGTGAACCCTTAAAGCTCTTACATCTGGCCTCCCCTTTGCCTCATTGAACTTCACAAAGGGACTGGGAAGTAGAAGCCGAACTTCTCGTCCTGGCCCCTCCTTCGGTTTCGAGTTCATGCTTTGCGGTCGCAGGTTAGGCATCTGTTTTTTTGCTATCAGGCTGCTTTCCTATTGCCTTCCTTCTCGCGACAGAGCTGAAGCGCTGCAGTAGCCGTTAAGGATGCGGGGAGACGCACTGCTGGAGTTTCTGACTGCGCCCTGAGACTTCCGAAATAGCCTTGAGGATGTGAGCTCTGTATAGCGTGAGGCCTTCTGATCAGCGGGAGAGCCTAGCTGAGTGAGTCACTGCAAGGAACACCTGCACCTTTAGAGGGCAGGGTTCCAGGCACGGTGCCTAGTTGTAATACTTACAGGTTTGACCAGCTCAAGAGGGCACGAGCTGTCTGCGCATGTCTGCACTACAAGGAATGCAATCTGTAATTGAATTGCGTCCACTCACGTGCTAAACACAAGTCTCGCTCTAACCTCATGCTTTCAAGTTCTCATGGTGCTGATACTGCTTGCTAATGGACGGCAAGGATGTAGTCGTCAGAGAAACAGATTGGCTAGGCGTACGAGGCGAAAGCGACGAAGAATAAGAAGAAGCAGAAGGTGATGAATATGATAATGAACACAAAAAGGCAGGCAAGGAAGCATTCTGCCTGGAGTAAGCTGGAGCAAGCTGCAGGGCGCAATGGCTGTCCTCAGGACACGAAATTTGGGACTGCTGGGGTTTCGGGCTGTACTCAGGGGGCTGCAGCTGCTCCAGCCAGCGCTGTGGCTGCTACCGCTGCCACTTCTGCTTTACCTCCACTGCTGATACTACCCCTGCCCCTATCGCACTCCCACTGCCCCTCACCACCACGACGACGACTCCGACCACGACGAGAACCGCAGCGGCAGCAGCAGCACCACCAGCAGCAGCACCACCACCAGCAACAGCAACAGCACCAGCAGCACCATCACCGGCAGCAGCACCAGCTGCAGTAACTGCAACAGAAGCACGTTAAACAGCTACTGTATTACCACTGGACCAGGCTAAGGACGACAAGCACAACGGCAAGATCAGAACACTGCCGAAAAAGCGCCGCTAGCACAAACACTGCAACAGGAATAGTAAGCTCATCTTTCCTGCCGGTTGGACGCATCACAGACCGTAGCGGAATCACTGCTGCCGCATTACTAGACGCACAAGCTTGATCCGCACAAATACGCGATGCAAGCGCTCAAGCTCCCCTAAGGGTCCCGAACAGTAAGCAACATCACCATCATCTTGATCACAAGTTTCCCCGCAACTCTTTTTTGCTCTAGTTGACTGACGTGCAAGGAAATTGGGTCTGGTGCACCTGGCGGGGGGAAGACCATACCATCTACCTTTGAGCTGGATTAAGGTTGCTGCGAAAAAACACGAAGCTCTGCAAGCGAGGCCGCTCAAATAATGAACTGCAACAAGCTCTCCGAAAAAACACGAAGCTCTGCAAGCGAGACCGCTCAAAGAATGAACTGCAACAAGCTGCATCTGCGCCGGTGCCAAAGAAGGCAGCTGCCAGCACAACGCTTGCCAGACAGCCTCCTCTTCCCACCTGAAGCTCTAAGAGAGAGAATTACCGAATGTGAAAGAAGCTGCCTGCATTTGATGATTGAAAACTAAAGAAGCCCCAAACATGAACAAGTTGAAGTCGCGGGTGGTGCCGGCCGTAACTCTCGTCGTGGTAGCCCGAGTGGCTGTTGTGTTGGTGGTGGTTGTTTTGTAGGAGGTGGAGAGGCAGGAGGAGCAACATCTTCGTTACAAACCCACCGCACTGAAACCTCCGCTTGGCGTGGTCTTGATGGCGGCCTCAGCCATCTCAGGCTCACAGCCGTAGGACTGATGATCAATGCAAACACGACGAATCTTACAAAAGTCGTTCGAAAGAGCAACCATCGGCATCATTTTGCCATGCATTCTCACTACCGCCAATCCTGGAAAGCGAAACGATGCTCAGACTTTCGATCACTTGTCAAGTTTGAGCATTTTCAGCGCACGCACTGTTTTTCCGCCCACTGTCGTCCTGCGAGGTGCACGTAGTCCGGCCGCAAAGCCGCCAACGGGAAACACAAAACGCGAAGCTATATGGCAAAGATAGCTCCGCAGCCGGCAAAGCTGGAAGCTATCAGTGATTTCAGACTGGCCACTTACTACACGCCACGGCACGACAAGGCAGCGCACTCCTTCCCAGCTCGAGGAATCGGCCATTCAGAAAACATGTAATGTCAGAATGCCAAACTCTGCAAGGGATAGAAGACGTCTCCAAGAAAAGCGCTCTTTGCAAAACCCCTTGGAAAAGCTGCTTCCAACTGCGCTCGAACAGAGCGGTCAAGTCACGGGACAAAGGTAGCCGCTGTGACCTCCTGCACGTAAACGTAGATCTCCATGACACGGCCCGAAAGCCACCGACCTCGACGACGAACACGTGAAGCGTTTTCGGCTTGCTGCAGCAGCCAGATCGCGACCCCAGGACGAAGAGACGCTAAGTCAAATGAGGGCCCGGATCGATCTTGAAGGCCCAGCTTTGCCAAAATGGACCGTAACCGTCTTCGAAGGACCCCGTTTGTAAAAAGAGCCAAAGCTTTGACGACGGAGAAAGCGAGCCAAACACGGCAGATGGCGGCTCGAGTATGTCAGTTAAGTCGATCCTCGAGCATTGGTGGCGAGCAGCACGAGTTTTCCGGGCACGAATTTGCAAAACAGCGTAACCCAGGGGCGGCGTTGTCCGGAAGTATAAGGTCAATTCGCGAGCCTGCCCAGGTCATACCAAAAATAGCTGCTTCAATCACCAATATCCCCACATAAAGGGCGACGCACACGACAATCAGCAATATGCTGTTAAGCATCGCCCTGTGAAGAATAGACGGTTCTTGCAAAAGCAACGTCCCAAGCTGGCTCAGATTGCTTGCTGAGCCTTTCCATGTGAGGTGGCAGCAGTGCAAGCGCCGGGGCGAGGGGCCTTTGGCACGACGCACATCGTTCCCGTCAGGCGGGGGGTCTTTGCTCAGCAAAGGCAGCTCAGGGCTGAGGGCCGCAAAGTGCCAAAGCATCTGAGTGGCTCGCTAGAGCAAACATAGCAAACTCAACTCTAAGGTGATACCCCTAAAACAAGCTTCTAAAGGTGGGGGTGAAGCGCCCCGAATAGACCGGCACGGACCCAAGGCCATCGAGGGGGGAACTCCCAGAAATGCCAGCGGCAACAAGCTCACTCCAAAAGTAGGAGAAAAGGAAGCTGTTGGCAGAAGAACTCGGAGACCCACGAACTGTGTCCCTTCTGGACGGGAGCTGGTGACAGCACTGAGGATGCTGCTGCCTGCTGTCTGCGAGTTCCGACTAAGAGTTGTGATTCGCTTGTTGAGAAAAGAGCAGGCGACTCGCCCCGAAATCAGTGCAAGAATGCAGTACCCAGCGAGGCAAGGAAGCTGCGAACTGAACAACAGCGATGGTAGTGCACAGAATCTGTTGGACGAGTGCACTGGATGGTGTCTCGGGCCAACCTTGACTGCCTGTGCAGAGGGCGGAGGACCATCAGGCCCACTGGCACACCGTCCAAGCTGGCCTGGTGAAATGATGAACGGTCCTGGACCACCCCTATCTTGCCCACGTGCATTGCATCCGATGAAGGCCAAATCCTGTTGTTTGCCCATATCCTGCGAAGCGATCGACGTACCCAGTCAGGCTCACATCTTACGGCGGATTGCATGAGTTTCCCGACTCCAAAGTCTCCTGCAAAGGATTTTCAACCTCCGGAAAGGGGAAGTGCCTCGAACGCCGCCTCTAGCTGCCGCCGGCTCAGTTTCGCTTGACGGTGTGCTGAAAAGCCCGACTTGTTGATGCACCCCAACCGGATCCCTGCGACAAGTCCCAAAGGTGCTTGAAAGCTGAGTTGGCAAAGGAGGAGCCGCTTTCTGATCCTCCGCGGTGTCCTCCTCCTCCAGCGCCTCTTCGTCGGGCATCTCCTAAGGGGCGCTGGCGTCTCCTGCCATGGGCCATGGGTCGCCGGGCCAGCACTCACCAGCTCCAAGTCCGAAACCGATGCGGCAATGCCCACTGTTCCGCCGCCAAGACTCAGGAACGACGACTGCGGCACTCAGCCAGCCGTTGGTCTGCCGACTATCGCGGCGCTTGATCCTCTAGAGTTTCACAAACCAGCCTCGCAAAACCCAAAGCACCATCCCTTGCACTGGCTTGACAAGGCAATGCAGACTGTGATTCCCCCACAGCAGTAGCAGCCCAGAAGAGAATGCGATGGAACCCCATGTGTCATCGAACAGCGCAAAGAGTTGGCAGGCTTCAAGAAGCACTGGTGTGACCCATTGCCCCAAAATGCCCCAGAAACTTGAGCAGCGTGCCTGGTGGCAGCCATAGCCTACATGGCAGACTGAGTAAGTTGAATTAATTGCTCCCCTCCCCTTACGCCCCAACCCCACCGGCAAGAGAAGAATCGACCTATCGGACTGCAATCTCTCCTAGTTTGCAGCTGTAAGGCCTTAAGAGCATTTTTCTAGCCGGGCGGCCATCAATGCCGGCTGCACTCGCAATCTCGCCTCAGAGCTACAGGGGCAAGAGCCGTTACATGCGTTGTGAAGTCTATGCCAGAAACTATAACAGAAGTGACTGCGACAACTGCTGTGCGAACTTTCGTGACCATGGCTGTCGTCATCCCTCCTAGCTAAGGTTGCCACCATACCACATCATGTCACTAAGGATGTTCCAGCGAAGGGTGGGGAGGGTGAGCAAATGCAGGTTCGGGACAAGTGGCGGAGGCTAGTTAGTTTATTCTAAGAGAGACAAACTTTAGCAGGAAGTTTATCTCCAGGGTTTAAACTATTAAACCAACTGACTCGTCAGGCCGGAGTTTGTTTTTCTGAAAGAAACTAACTGATATGCTTCGGGGGAGGGGGGAGAAACTAACTAACTCATTCGCCCGGGGTTTGTTTCTTCTGGGTGGGGGAGTTTGTTTCTCCTACAGAAACAAACTCTGGGGGGAGGGGTTTGTTTTCAGAAGGACAAACAAACTCCGAAGGGGGGGGTGCAGGGGAGTTTGTTTTTCCTACAAAAAACAAACTCTGGGGGGAGGGGTTGAGTTTGTTTCTCCGGAAGAAAACAAACGTTTGCGGATCATCTTTGTTTGGGTCACGAAGAGCCAGGTTGGAGAAGAGAGGAAAACAAACTAACTTGAAACTCCGGTTCGACGAGTTTGTTTCAGCGGGTACAAACAAACTCCGACCAGGTGAGTTTGTTTCAGCGGTGAGAAACAAACCCCGATGGGAGAAGTTTGTTTGTTTAAGTGACGCTACGGGGCGGCGCGGGGGTGCAGGGGGGTTTGATGTTCCTACAAAAAACAAACTCCGGGGGGAGGGGTTTGTTTTTCCTACAAAAAGCAAACTCTGGGGGGAGGGGTTTGTTGAAAAACAAACTCCGAGGGGGAATGCAGGGGAGTTTGTTCTTCCTACAAAAAAACAGACTCTGGAGGGGAGGGGTTCGTTTCTTCGAGAAGAGACTAACTCTGGGTGGAGGAGTTTGTTTCTCCTACAGACACAAACTCTGGGGGGAGGGGTTTGTTGAAAAACAAACTCCGAGGGGGAATGCAGGGGAGTTTGTTCTTCCTACAAAAAAACAGACTCTGGAGGGGAGGGGTTCGTTTCTTCGAGAAGAGACTAACTCTGGGTGGAGGAGTTTGTTTCTCCTACAGACACAAACTCTGGGGGGAGGGGTTTGTTTTCAGAAGGAAAAACAAACTCCGAAAGGGGGCGGGGGTGCAGGGGAGTTTGAAACTAACTAACTCGCTCGGCCGGGGTTTGTTTCTTCGAGAAAAACTAACTTTAGGTGGAGGAGTTTAAACTAACTAAACCCTATAAAAGGTTTGTTTTCCATGTCTAAACTAACTTGCGCCTACCCGGTACTCTGAAGGTTTGTTGTGTTTAAACTAACTAAACCCTATAAAAGGTGTGTTTCCCATGTCTAAACTAACTTGCCGAAAGTTTGTTTTTCTGCCCTATGAAAGGTTTGTTTTCCATGTCTAAACAAACTTGCGTCTGCCCTATTTGAGGTTCGGAAGCTGTCCATGGCTCCCAGACTTAAACCTGCCAGCTGCTTTGGCTCGGCTAAGGCTGCTAACACATGATGGGGAGATTGATGTTTAAAAAAATCGTGAACTTGCCCTGTGGTCCAGATCCAGATCATCTCCTAGTCGTTGCTCCTATAGTCCTATAGAGGTCCTCAATCCAACACTCCAATCACAAAGCCCTGCAGCCTCGACCGCCTCCTACGAACTCGGACTCCTACATCGAAGGATCACCTCTCATGCAAAGCTCCTGGGTTGGCCGAACATGTAGGATTCCGGGCTAAAGGCTTCGTCAATGCATGGGGTGCAGGACATCGGGTTTCGACTCTCACAACTTGGGCCTAAGGATAGGAGTTTGTCCCTCTTGCTGCGGGCCAAGGTTCAATACTTACACTTGCACTTTAGGGCTTCTTCCGGCCACTTGCACACAGGCTGCGCACAGTGACCCCGAAACCTGGACGCAACCGTGAGCCAAAAACTGACATTGACCAAATAAGGGGTTACAGACCAGGGCTTGACGCTTAAACCGCTGCTTAATCTTACAATCCGAATAGAACAACCTCGGCCGTAAAAGCCAACAAACGGGCTGCGGCTCCTTCCTAAAGGATTTGTCAGTCATTAGGGTCTGCGAGCAACCTGAAACTCTAGACACAACTGTCGGGCTAGGGAAACAGATCAAATTGTGCCAAGCAGCTTATGGAGTAATACGGTTTGAAGGAGCATTTTCGAGAAAAACGCTGCGGCGGATCACGCAGCTTTAGAATGATGCAAGTTGCGCGGATGCAGACGAATCCTCCCTGACCCAAGCTTTGCTTCTTCACAAGTAGTGAGGTTCCCTTGCTTCCACCCGGAAGCATAAACGAGTTCGCCAGAGGTGGTTCTTACAGAGTTTTACTGGCTGAAACACTGAGTAGACATGCCGAGCAGAAATGTGACTACTGCAAGAATGCTGCTATGAAAACGACGAGGACCAAAACCATTTGCTACGACCTCCCCTGCATGACAGACGACCAAGGAAAGATGTTCGAGAGTCTGCCGTGCTTTGGGACAGCTACAGGTGAAGCTCAGCAACAAGCATCAATGTATTGCATGGAGACCTGGACCGTTCTAAAAGGAATACCGTTACGACTCGTGCAACAACTCGGCCAGGGACTTTCACAGTGGTAGAAGTAGAACTTCCAGCGGACGCAGCATTAGTAGCAGCAGCAGCAGGAGTGGTAGCAGTAGTAGTGGTAGCAGCAATGATTACTAACATTTAGTAGTTGTTAATGGTATTAGCAACACATTTTGTCAGCACAAAAACTTGTAAGTAGTACTTAGTACAAGTAGTAGTCGCAGTAGCTGTTGCTGTAGCAGTCGTCGTCGTCGTAGTCATGGTCTCGCAGTGGCAGTGGTGGTGGTGGTGGTGGTGGTGGTGGTGGTGGTGGTGGTGGTGGTGGTGGTGGTGGTGGTGGTGGTGGTAGTGGTAGTGGTAGTGGTCGTGGTAGTGGTAGTGGTAGTGGTAGTGGCAGTGGCAGTGGCAGTGGCAGTGGCAGTGGCAGTGGCAGTGGCAGTGGCAGTGGCAGTGGCAGTGGCAGTGGCAGTGGCAGTGGCAGTGGCAGTGGAAGTGGCAGTGGCAGTGGCAGTGGCAGTGGCAGTGGCAGTGGCAGTGGCAGTGGCAGTGGCAGTGGCAGTGGCAGTGGTAGTGGTAGTGGTAGTGGTAGTGGTAGTGGCAGTGGCAGTGGCAGTGGTAGTGGTAGGTAGTGGTAGTGGTAGTGGTAGTGGTAGTGGTAGTGGTAGTGGTAGGGGTAGTGGTAGTGGTAGTGGTAGTGGTAGTGGTAGTGGTAGTGGTAGTGGTAGTGGTAGTGGTAGGGGTAGTGGTAGTGGTAGTGGTAGGGGTAGTGGTAGTGGTAGTGGTAGTGGTAGTGGTAGTGGTAGTGGTAGTGGTAGTGGTAGTGGTAGTGGTAGTGGTAGTGGTAGTGGTAGTGGTAGTGGCAGTGGCAGTGGCAGTAATTTGGCACTGGTAGTCGTAGCGGTAGTGAGCGGGGTGGTAGCGGTAGTGGTCGTGGTCGTGGTCGTGCTACTTGTGACTAGCTACAAGCTACGCGCTGCTACCAGTGGCTGCTGCTACTGCCACTGCCATTGCATCGGCCACCGCCAGTGCCACTGCCACTATTGCTACTACTACTACCACTACCACTACCACTGCCACTGCAACTGCCACTACCACTACCACTACCACAACTACTACTGCCACTACTAGTACTACTGCTGCTGCTGCTGCGTTGCTGTACTGCTGCCAAACAAGGGATTTTTGAAAGCTGCGGCTCCCACACAGCAGATGATCGCTCTGCTGCAAAAGACGGACTTGCGAGTCGGAGCACGCCGTCCTTTGACCTGGGCTCTGAATTGCATTAAACCGTTGCGTTAGAACGTTCGCCATGCGACATGATGGTCTGCTGTTTCTAAGCTCTTTCCAATGCTGCAAGCACCAGGACGCACACAATCTGCTGCCCAAGAGGCCCTTTCCACAGAGCTCGGACCTGCTCTGATACTCGCATGATCACAACGAGACGACACACTGCCAGCTGCCACAGACTGGAGACAGACTGGAGTATGCCAGATCTTTTCGTGCTTTCGGCGCTCTGAGTGTCAGAGGTCTGTACACCAAACCTTCACATCTGACCTGCAAAGCGCTTTGGACCAACACAGAATCTATGAACAAGAAGGGTGCAATGGAGCCACTCCACAGACTGCCAGGAAGAAGGACCCACCACATCAGAACAAGCAAGCCGTCGCCTGCCGCGTCTTGAACGATGCACGCGACAGAGCAAGCAAACTTGATGCAGGGTCATGTTCTGTAGATGGGCATCGGCCAGCTTGCACGAAGCCATTTGGCTGGTCAGGTGTACGATTCTACACGTCAACACTGTGCATCTGGTCCGAAAACACATGGGCCCGGACAGGGCAAGCAATGCGTCATGGGACAAATACAAGCAGCAGAATGCACCCACACTTCTTTGTAGGACAACATAACAGAGATGTCCCTAGACCTCGTTTTGAGTCTGCATTTTCTGCCCAGCAGCCGAAAATAAACCACGAACTCGCCATAAACACTGTTGCGGAGTCACTAAAATCCTGATTGCTTTCAGTTCTGGATGCTTCGCCCGAACGCAAAATCGTCTTGGATAGAGGTGTGCACTGCTATCAGTGCCAAGTCCGAAAAAGCCTACACATGCAGGGAAGCATCCAGACCCAGCAGTTCAGGGGAACATGTGTGCCTTCACTGTGCTGGCTTAAGTTGCTCGGGAACAAAGGCGTTCGGGTAGAACCCACAAGTGGTGAATTCACGCTTGAGGTCTTGGATTTCTGACATTCGCGAGAGCTTTCAACATTCCGACTACCTCGCAACGCCCGGAAGATCCTTCTTTTCAGGACTTTCTAAAGACCGACCCGACATGGCCGATTAACGGATTCACAGCACTGCCTTCAGAGCTCGAACTTCACTGACCTGATCGTCCGAAGTCCGGGGATGTGACATCCGCAGGGTCAAAACTGTTCGAGCTCACAACTCAGGCACGAGCCCTGCAGCTGAGAGCCGCAACTTCTGGAAGTGTTCGGCCAAATCCCCTCTCGGCAACAGCTTCATCAATGCCGTCAGGTTCATACCACGCAAGGTCCTGACTTCGTCTTGCGCGATACAGAGAGCTAACACTTTGAAGCAACAGAAACAAAAAGACTTCCAAGCGATGACAAGGCGTCTTCTTCAGCCGGTACAGCTCTTTTCGAGGTATCTTCATTCGGATATTGTCATTGTTGTGCTCCACGTCTGGACACAACTTCTTGTCGAGAACGTGGACGAAGTCTTCGACCTGCTCTAGTAGCCCAGCCGCCAGCGCCTGCTCCCGGATGTGTGGGATCAACAAGGAAACCAAGTCCTCGTCGCTCAAACCTTGCACTCGAGCCCTCTGTTCCTGGTCCAACTTCGGAACGGGAGAGTGCTGGCTGTGGTGGCAGAACTGACACGAAGCACCTTGCCGACACTTGCTTCCCTTGAGTATATACACGCATGGGCGGTGGCAAAGCACGGGGTGGCCCAAGCTCCCCCAACTCGCAGCCAGCTGATGTACAACTGCTGGCTCCGGGATGGAATTTGGGCCTTCGAGGCCTTCCTTGGGGGGCGGAAAACTCGCAACAATGGCCTTCAAAGTTTGCGAGGGCATCCTGGCCTAAGAGGCGCCGTCTCTGAAAACGAGTTCTGTGGCTGCGGACACACTTGGCTCAGGGATGAGATTTTCTGCATCCAAGTGTACTGGCACTTCCAAAAACCATGACCCCGGGACCCCGCCTCTCTTTACCTCCCGCCTCTTTCTCAGTGCCAAGCCCTGGGGCCTCGTTGTTAGCATCGGATGCACAGTAGATCTCCTCAGACTGAAAAGGGCTGAGCTTCGGATGATTCTCTTCTCGCGCTGCATATGGTTCTGTTGATCAGGCGAGCAGCAGAGCGAATCATGAGACGTCCGACAACCAAGGAGGACCATCAGGACGAGGTGCATGTCAGGGTCTGCGCGAATAGCATGGCACGAGTAAGGACAAAATTCAGATGAGAGCGAGCACCACCGAAGATTCTTAAAAGCCAATGTCTACATCGTAACGGCAAGAAAAAAGGGAGGACAAAGCGTAAACAAAACACCAAAAACCGTATATACGTCGTGGTCACTGAACTGGCCGTATTCAAACCTGTAGCTGCTGGGGGTGCAATCTGTACGAACTACAACAACAAACGCGAAGTAACTCACCGACAGATAACACGACGGGAAATACGCAGCCTTCAGGAAACTTAAACTTTGGCATAGCAAGCACATGAAACAGAAGACTAGTCGGGAAGGTAGCGAGGAAACCAACAGGATAAACATGAAAGAGATTATGCAAGATTACACTGGTGCGACAGGCCAAGATAGTAGAGTCCTGGCTCTTCTTTACGCGACCTGGCTCATGATGGGGGAAGGATGGGATAAGGCTGGGAGGGGGGGGAAGAGGGAGGGAGGGGAAAACCTACTAGTGCAGTTTTTACCACGGCTCCGCAGAACTCAGATTCTCAGGGCCAAATCTTTGGAATATCCGTAAACCCAAGCATGGACTTGATTTACCCCAAACCATAAACGTCGAAGGCAACTTGGAGATGCATCATCGTAACGAGGGGAGGGAGAAAGGCTTCATGTCATAGAAAGGTTTAAAGAATGTATTTAGAAGATGTATGGAAGGTTTGGACATGGAAGCAATTGTTGCGGCGCTTGTAGTTTTCTGGTTTGCGGCAATGGCACCTGTAAACTATGTGAAAGCAGGCAGCCAAAGCCATAGCAGCACACCTGTCGATTCTCTACGTCACAGAATCATTCCCTGGTGAGGGTTTTCACTCCATCGCAACTGTCCGAGCACAGATCGGGACGTCGTGGAACTATCAGTCTACTTCCTCTGACTCCCGATTTAAAGCTTGTCCAAGTAGTCGCCGAGGGCCGGCATCTCCACCTTGAGGTTCTTGCGCTTGCGGATGGCCAGGATAAGCTCCTCCATCTTGCTGCCCTTGTCGAGGCAATTGCCCTGCAGATTCTCCCAGTGATCGAAGACACACTGGGGGAAGGCCTGACCACTGGTTGCCTGCCTCAGGGCAGCGACAAAACCGAAGGACTCAGACACGGGCAAGTGGGCCTTCACCTGGACCAAGGGTGTGCCTTCCCTCTGGTTCTCTTCGAAGACGCAGCCGCGGCGCAGGTTCATGCAGTTGTAAACTCCGCTCATGGCCTCCTGTGGGCAGGTGATCTCAACCAAGAACACTGGCTCCTGCAGCGTCGGCTTAGCCGTCAGCTCTGCTGCAAAGCAGCATCGGCGGGTGGGAGGCATGATCTGTCCCGCGCCACGGTGGATGGCGTCCGTGTGCAGAGTCACATCCATCAGGTTGAAGCGGATGCCTCGCATGTTCTCCTCGCACAGAGGTCCTTCCTTGGTGGCCCACTGGAACGCGCTGTTCACATGCTCCTTGATCTCGATGAGGTACTGAACGCCCACCGTGGAGTCCACGACCAGGTTGGCACCATCGGTCTCGGGACCGTAACACCAGATCTTGGTCTGAGCAACCTGCTTGTCCCAGTCGAACTTCTCTGTCAAGATCTTGGCTCGTTCCTTGGGATCCGCCTTGGGGCCAACGACACCGTCCTCGATGGCCTTGCTCAGCTCCTCGTCCATGGGCTCTGCGACCAGGTAGATACGGTTGTGCTTGTTCGGCGACTTGGCCAGGCAGGTCTGGCCGGACTGCTCGCTGACGGTCTCCCTGTAGGACACCACGGGGTCGGACACGATGAAGTCGCACTGAGCGTACTCATCCTTCAAGTCCTTCAAGCAGATCTCGACGTGGAGCTCACCGCAGCCTGCGATCACGTGCTCTCCGCTCTCCTCGGTCGTGCACACAACCAAGGGATCGGACTTGGACAGCTTCTTCAGGCCCTCCACCAACTTGGGCAGGTCCTTGCCATCCTTGGCCTTTACTGCGACCTTCACGACAGGGGACACGCTGTACTTCATGTCGGCGATGTTATGAGAATCCTCCAGCGTGGTGATGGTACCAGACTTCAAGATGTACTGGTCAACGCCGACCAGTGCCACAGTGTTACCGCAGGGCACATCCTGGATCTGCTCCGTGGTGCGGCCCATCATCAGCACGGTACGTTGGATGTTCTTCACGTGCAGGTCCTCCTTGCTGCCGGGCTTGTAGTACGGGCCCTGGATACGGACCTTCTGCCCCGTAGCAATGGTGCCCGAGAACACGCGGCCGAAGGCATAGAAGCGGCCCTTGTCTGAGGTGGGCACCATCTTCGACACATACATCATCAGTGGACCTGACGGGTCGCACGAGCGGATGCCGTTGGCAGCTGCATCATCCATAGGTCCCTCGTACAAGTTCTCCACACGGTACTTCTGGGCAGCACGAGGGGAGGGCAACTTGGTCACGATCATCGCCAGCAGTGTGTCCGCTGCATTGATCCAAATCTGCATGGTTCGCTTCATCAGAGGCTTGCCTGTCAATGACTTCTCGTCACCCTTCAGTGTGATGCCCAAGGTACCCATCATCTTCTCGTACTTCTCCTTGTCGTCGTTCATGATGGCTCGCATCAGCTGGTTGATGGGTCCCATGATGAACTGGCAGAAAGCACGCTGGAGCGGCTCGGTGCAACCCTCCGGCTGCTGCACGTTCGTCCACACCTTCTTCTTGGCGTTGAAGAACGAGTCGCCCCACATGCGCTGCATCATCTTGTCCTTCTCGACACCCATCTTCTGAGCATAGATCTTGGCAAAGCGCTCCGTCGTGAAGCCCCATCCGTGGAGGCCACTGCCGAAGGCCACCGTGCCCTTCTCTGGGGTGACCTGAACGTCGCCCATCAGCGCATCGTTGTATGTGGCAATGATCACGTTCACGTTCTCAATGGCGTTTCGGAAGCGGGAGTACATGTCCTCGGCTTCCATCTGCAACTCAAGGATGCAGCGGTCGACCTTGTTCACGAACAGGCACGGGCGCACACGCTCCTGCAGTGCCTGACGCAACACCGTCTCTGTCTGTACAGCACAACCCTCAATGCAGTCGACCACGACCATGGCACCATCGGTAATTCGCAGGGCCGCGGTCACCTCCGAGGAGAAGTCAACGTGGCCGGGAGAATCGATCAAGTTGATCAGGTGAGGAATCGCGCCCTTGCCATCCTCCTCATCATGCTCGAAATACAGGGACACACCGGTGGACTTGATGGTCACACCTCGCTCCTGCTCATCTGCTCGGGTGTCGGTAAAACGCGCGTCGCCCGCGGCCTTCGCCGAGATGATACCTGCCTTACAGATCAGGGAATCGGTCAAGGTGGACTTGCCGTGATCCACGTGCGCGATGACACTCATGGAGCGGATGTTATCCGTCTTATCCATGATGGTGCGCATCTGATCCACCGTAAAGTTCGGCATGGCGGCCTTCTCCTAATGAACTACAATGAAGCGTCGCCCTGGTCCTGATCCAAACTAGTTCCCGGAGCGCCAACCTTCAGAGTGGAGCTACGGAAGGCACTGGGCAAAAGGAATGGGAAGGCAACAATTGTGTTTGGAGACTCGGATGCCGGACAACATGCTGTCCTTCTCGCGCGAATCGGCTTCAGCGCAGTGTCTGCCAACCTGGCAGCACACTTATCGAACATACGAACACATTCTGATACCAGTCGGCTGCTCCCTCACTCACCCGTGGCCCATTTTGCCCTGCTCGGATCTACTACATCCAGAAGGCCTAATTAGTTTCAATGCGTTTCAATGACATTCTTATGGCAAACCAAGTCTTTTTTCCGGTGGCCCACGGCCGCACACACTCGACAGGTCAGCTGAAGGCAGCAGCGACACCGCAGCTCGAGGCGACAAGCCTTCCACCTTTAGCTCTTGGGCACAGCCCACCGCCTTTCTGGCCATATGGATGGATGCCCTCTCCAAGATTTCCCGATACACCAGGCCACGATTTCTTAAAGCATCAATCTCCACCCGGGTTGGGGAAGGCCCGCAATGTCTCGGATGTGCAAGCTCGGCGAGATGCCCAATTGCATGGCATGTGCTTCCTGCGTTGTGTGGCGGGCTCTGCGGGCATTGCGGACAACCAGCCCCGCACGCGGCAGGCAGATCGAGAAAAATCGCGAAACTTATTGTTGTGGTACACAGGAATGTGCATGAATACGCGATGCGTGAAATTGCCAACACTGCGGCAGCAGTGCATGCCAACCATGCTTTTTGCACACGGTCCGACAACCCATCATAACCCCATACACCAAGTTGCATGATAATACGCTGGGTCCCCCTGGGCTCGCGCAACAAAAGCCCTCGAATGCAAGAGCACTGGCCGAGCACCCCATCGTTCGGAAGCTTCGGCCGGGTTGCTGTCTCTTCACGGGTGCGTTACTCGAGGTGCCACGTGGTGCCGAGGATTTGCTGTCTCCGCAAACATCAGGGCCCAACCTCAGCAATACCTTACGAACGGGAATCGATATCTGCATCATCCCTGGAGGCTGGCCTCTCAGCGAACCTAGGCCTGGGAACAGCTGCAAGCCAGAAAACCCAAATCAAGGAACCACAAGAACGTCCGAAGCTTTCGTTGAAGCAACAACGACACAAGGCCCCCTGTAAAGAGGATTGGAGTGTAGCGGGGCAA